TAACATCCTCATCCAAATCCTTTGTTCAATTGTTCTTCGGTCCTACCCTTTTCTTCAACTGTTCGTCACTCAAATCGGTGAACTTTGTCGTTGCTATGGCTATTTTCATGAAGATTGATCTACATTTTGCCGGAATTTTTACCAGGTACCCCACTATTACTTACTCAGATGGAGTCGAGCAAAGGTTTGATGATGTTGATTTTGTTGGAATGGACAAGAACGAATTTGTGGAGTTCCTTAAAAGATTCATTGTTGAGAGATGTGTGAATGTGTACTTTTGCATGCCCGATATTGACTTTCACGATGGATTGAGGATAATCCCCACCGACATGGATTACATGGAACTAATCGAAGTAGGGTATGCTTTTGATTGTGTAATTGATATATACATGGAACATATTGGTGTTAATATACATCAATGGATTCTTGAAGAGCAAGCAGAAGTTTGTAGTTCTTTAGACGGATTCTCTAGTGCAAATGAAGTTCATGAAGAACTGCGAAGTCGTATGGATATGGATGATGGAATCAACATGCAGGATTTACATGGTGGTAGGGATGATATCCAAGGTGCAAGGGAGGATTTGCAAGGTGAGCAAGATGATGACATTAACATGGAAGTGGAAACTGAACATGATGAGTGCATTCCTATGAACAAGACAAAAGATGATGAGTTTCTGAGTAAGTTGAGCCCAAAGGAGCAAGTCACCCCCACAATCCACCTCGTAAAGAGCCATATGATCATTTACATGAGGATGATGTAATATCTACTAGACAGGATATTTACAATGAGAATGTTCATTGGAGAAAGTAGAAGCCTGCATTAGGTATGAGATTTGTGAGTCCTAAACAACTGAAACAAATGATGTGTAACTATGTTGTAGAAAATGGTTATTAATTATGTTACAAAAAATGATAATAGGAGACTGTTCGTGAAATGTTGTTCTGGACAGTGCAAGTTTAGAATGTGGGCTTCTGGGATGAGTGAGGAAAAGTCTTTCCAGATTAAGAGTCTCATAAATGAGCATAGTTGTGCAAGAAATTTCAAGTTAGGTTTAATTGTGAACTATTCCTGGATAGGTACTCATTACACAACACAATTCTTACAGAAATAAAAGGTTAGTGTCAGGCTACTTAGGGATGCGGTTAAAGAGAAATTTGGTATAGATGTGAGTATGGGACAATATAGAAGAGAAAATAAGTATGTAATTGAACTGGTTGAAGGAAAACTAGTGGAGCATTATGCAAAGCTCTGGTCATATGGTGAGGAGATTAGAAGATCAAATCCAGGATCAACAGTCAAAATGGATGTCAATTCTATGCCAGATAGTAAGAATTATTTTAGCAAGTTTTACTTGAGTTTTGATAGGCTAAAGCAAGGGTGGAGAGGGAGCTGCAGAAGGGTTATAAATTTAGATGGATTTTCTTAAAGGGGTTATGTACTTGAGAGCTAATATATGTTGTAGGAAAGGATGCTAATAATCACAAATTCCCAATTGCATGGGCAGTTGTCTGTGTAGAAAACAAAGAAAATTGGAAATGGTTTTTGGAAAACCTTAGAGATGACCTTGAACTGGATAATGGCTTTGGTATAACATTCATGTCGGATCAGCATAAGGTATGTTCTTTACTTAATGACTTTTAAATATTGTACTTGGTGGTTTCATTTTATCTAACATGTTATCATTGTTGTATAGGGGCTGTTAGAGGCTGTCAAAGAAGTACTACATACTGTTGAACATAGGCAGTGTGCAAGGCATATTGTTGCCAACTTTAGGAAAAGATTCACTGGTGTAAACTATAAGACCATGTTTTGGAAGGAAAGCAAGGCATCCACTGAGCCTTTATTCAATGTTGCCATTAAGGAGATTGAAGTGCTTAACCCTACAACCTTTTCTTATCTTATGGAAACAAACCATAAATCTTGGAGTAGAGCATTCTTTCGAGAGGGAAGGGTGTGTGATGCAGTGGAGAATGGATTATCTGAGAGCTTCAACAGTGTCATCAGGGATGCAAGGAAAAATCCAATCATCACCATGTTAGAGGAGATTAGATTGTATGTTATGGAGAGGATATACAATTTAAAGATCAAAGGTAGTTCATAGCCTGATTACAAGCCTTGCCCAGCAATTACACTCCTACTGAATCAATTAAAAAGAGTTTAAAGGTACTTTCTAATCTTTACACTCCTAATTGTATTTAGGTACTTAATTATGTTATGTCTGCAATAAGTATTGGCAGGTTTTACCAAGTGGTCTAAACCAATTTGAAACAAGAAACATGGTTGAGTCTTATGTTGTTGACCTGGACAAGAAGACTTGTACTTGTAGAGTGTGGCAACTTAATGGGTATGGATGAGTATATTCAGTTGTAACTATATCCTTTCTGAATAGAGATGTTGGTACTTAGGTGGATACAATGTTCTATGGTGTTGTGTACAAGAACACTTACAAGTACCTAATTCATGGGATGAATGGTAGCAATATGTGGCCACCTACTGACTTCATACCACCTCTTCCACCAATGAAGAGAAGAATGTCATGTAGACCAAAGGTTAACAGAAGAAGAGATGCATCAGAAAAGCTCCCAAATCACATTGTGTCTAAGGGAGGGAAAAAAATATCATGCAATGTGTGTAAACAAGTGGGGCATAACAAGGTAACATATCCTCAAGTGAAAAAACCTCAAGTTGGAAGGAGGCCAAAACTAAATGTGGGAAAAAGGAAAACAGTTGTCAATGAAAATGGTCAAGGAGCACAAGAGTTGGTGCAGGAAGCAGTGGATCAAAATCAGTGCCTGAAGGGCAAAATGGAGACAAAACAGGGGGTAAGTGTAAAAGAAAGAAACTGGAAAGAATCATCAAGATGAAACTTGCTAAGAGGGTTAAGGGCAAAGATGGGAAATGAGATACTAGTGCAAACCCATTAGACCTTAATGAGTAGGATATCTTTTCCTTGAACTTGTTATGTTTGTACTTGGTTGTAGTTAGTTGTACTTAGTTGTTATGTTTGGAATAGGGTTGTACTAGGTTGATTTGTTTGGATTTGTACTAACTTTGTTTCTTTGAGAAACATATGTACTTGTTTATTTGTTTGTGACTGATGTGTACTACTTATGTTGTTTGAGAAACTTAGTTTGTTTTAGAAAGATATGTACTTGTTTTCTTGATCGTGCATGGTGCATGTTACCCAAGGGAACATGGGGTCAATAGTTCCAGGAAGCGATGTTAATTTGGTTAGGTTACAAGGGAACATGTGGTCCTGGTAACATCACTTAACACATGTGGTCCAATAATTTGCTTGTGGTCCTTGAATAGTATGTAGGGTAACATCAGTGGCCACTAGAATGATTAAGACATTAAGTTTAATGTAATACAATAACCAAATTAATACAACAACCATTCATGTTAAACATACAAACCAAAACAAAGTACATTACAAGTTGTTCATAATTTAACCCAAATGACCTTGATTACAACTTGTACATAATTAAACATAAAGAAATACCCAACTACATATTCGGTATACCTTTAACTTAAAGACCTCATATTGAAGCTTTTTGTTCAACCTAAACAACCCAATTATGATCACACCTTCATTGTTGCACTGCATTTCATCAACCCAAGCTATAAAACCTGAACGAGCATTCTGATTCCAATTATTTGTCTGAATTAGTACATGTTAAGAAAACTAGGGTTAACATCACAAATTGAACAAATGGTAAATTACCTTTTTGGGACATGCATAAAAGGGCTTTCTTGGGTTATTGATAGTGCGTGATGTTCGTATTATAGCCTCAGCTTCACATCCACATTCCATGTTCTTCATTATGTAGCTTCACAATGGAGAGTATTTGAAGAAGAAAACAATGTTCTAGAATGAAACAAGTAGGTATAGAAGAAACTTTTAACTGATTGCTAGTACGTGGAAAATACTAAATTACCCCCACTGTGCAAGGCACGTGGGGTCACTAACATCCTCACTCTTTCCTTCTTCCCATTTCTAATGCACTTTCAACAGAATTTTTTCTAGATAAAAAATAGTAAATAGGATCATACGCAATGAACAAAGAACATGTAACTTAGAAAACGCCTATCATGAAGACAGGTCTTTCATTCATCATTGGAGTCCACTTAAAAAATGTTTGTCATATAGACATGTCTTTTATATATATCACCAAAAAAAACAAATATAAAAATAAAAAATAAAAAATAAAAAATCTACATACTAATATGCTTGGTAACCACCATTGCTTCAAATTCACTCATCACTCAAGCTTAACAACGAAATAGAGCACAACCTCCAGCAACAAGAGCATCCCCACCATCATGTCACCCATTATTTGGTACTTAATCCGATATTATGTAATTTTTTTCTGCATTTAATGTCGTTATGTATCTTTGCACCAAAATCGTTGATTAAAAAAAAAAGTTTAAAAACTGAAAAATATTATTACCGACGACTGGAGCATTAGCGGCGACAACGATTATTACCGACGACAACAGAATTAGCGGCGACAAGTGTTATTACCGGCGACATTTTGATCAATAGCGACGAAGCGGTAGCGGCGACTTTTTACCGGCGACGTGTCACCGCTATTACCTTTACCGGCGACTATGATAGTCTTTATCGGCGACTTTTGTCGCCGCTATTACCCTTTTTTTCTTGTAGTGAACTAACTAGCTACCTACTAACGATTTTTAAAACCTTAGTAAAAACAAATTTTAAAAAAAAAAAACTAATTAAAAAAACATGTAAAACAAAATCGTAAACTAAGTTTGGACAAATTTGTAAAAAAACAAATAAAATAAAATAATAATATGAACAAATTTATGACAAAATTAGAACTTGGTCCTGATTATAACTAGGGTTGTGAACGAATATAAACGAATGGAAATAAACAAACATAATTGAACATATAATATAGTAATGTAATTGAACACAATTGAACATAAATAAACATTAAGAAAAAATGAACGAATATAAACAAACGAAAACTTGTATTTATTTTCGTTGATTTATTAAATAAAGAAACATAAACTAACTTCTTGCAGATATCATAAGGTATTGTAGTTTAAGACCTTACATGTGCATAGGTTCAATTACATATGTATGGATGTCATTCCCCATAAATGATTTTAGAACTTCTGGAGGAAGTCATAAATGTGTTTGTTGACCTTGTCTGGTGTTTCTTGAGTGATGAAATGGGCTGCACCTTGGATCACCACAACTTCATCCAACAAAGGTACATATTTCTTGAATCCACCGCCATTTATGTACTCCTTCACGCCTGGGATATGATACACCAAATCTAACTCCCCAACAACGAATTTCACAGGTACACTTATTTTAGCATCTGTCCATGGTGCTTCCAGTTCCCAGTTTCTGCAAATAAGATAATCAACATTTCAAATTTAACATCTACAAAAGGAGGCTACTATTTCAAATTCTACCAAACAATTGTCAAAGGAACTTACAGGTCAAAACATCGGTAGTAGTTTATTCCTCCTGTGAACCCAGTTTGCTCGAATTTTTTGGTGTAATAATCAACATCTTCTTCAGGTAGCCATGATGGCAAGACGACCGGAGTATCATGCAAAGCTCCAAAGGGCTTACCTTTAGGGAAATAAAACGGATCAGGATCACGGTGTGTCAAGAATTTCTCAACAACTTTTTTGGTTCCAAGACTCGCAAACACAGCTTCTATTTCCCCTGGTTCCTACAACAAAGTCAAGCGAGGAAGAAAAAGATCGACCCTTCTGTGTCAATTTATCTATATTATACCACAGATATGGAAAATACAACAAATGTCACCTGAAATCTGCAGATGTAGTGATCATCTCCGTATGCGGCACGGAAATTCTGTACCATTTTCCGGTGAGGGCTTCTTGGGGCAAAGTGAACGCTTAAATTGACCAAGGCTTTAACTTTGTCGGGTATAAACAGACACAGGCGCCAAGCAATTATGGCGCCCCAGTCATGCCCAACAACAAACACCTTATCTGCACCAAGAGCATCGATGAGTGCCACCATGTCGCCGACAACGTAAAATGTAGTGAACTTGGTAGGATCGTCGATAGGTGCACCGGTGGTGTCTCCGTAGCCACGGAGGTCAGGGGCGACTGCTCGGTACCCGTGGGCGGCGAGGTAGAGGATCTGGTGGCGCCAGGAGTACCAGAGCTCAGGGAAACCGTGGAGTAGTAGTACAATTGGACCTTGACCCATCTCTGCAACGTGCATATCAATGCCATTGACGCTTATCATCTTGTGATCTATCCCTTCCATCTTGGCTTCTGTTGATTTGGATCACAACGTAACTCTGCAAAATTTTAAACAGGAGTCTGTTTGGGTCATTATGATGCTGTACGTACCCCATAATGATACTATAATTAACTACGAACTACCCCCCATTAGATAATGCACCTGCCACTCAAATATAAAGTGAATGCAACTGTTACTATATTGGGGTGTTTGGGATTGCTTTATTCAAATTTATAAAAGTGATCCATATATGTTGGTAGATCTATGACATGACATGACTTAAAATTATTGCTCATATAATCAATCATGACTAAATATTTTCTTTAATGGTTAATTTTCCTCATTATTTTTTTTATAAATTAAACTCCTATAAAAGGGACGTGTTCATAGTGGGGGAATTTGATCCAAATTAACTTCCTTTAGTTGTGTAAATGTGACCATAGAGTGTGCAAAGATTGCAAGGTGGTTCTTGGAGAGGCTTGCACGTAACAACATAAATTCTTGGTTGCTAGTCTACCCTAAGGAGAGCACAAGGGAGGGGGCTAAGGAAGTTATACTTATAATTCTTTGGAACAACTAGAAGGGGCAATGCTTTTGCTTTTAGGGATAAGTCCCTCGTACGCATCATGAAAGAATGCAAATGAGTTATGGAACAATGTGGTCTGTTTCATTAGGAAGTTTGCCAAAGACACTCGAGGGGTGTCGTTTGGGAGGCCATGGTTTACGAAGAATCATGCATGGTGGTGGAGCTAGGCAGTCCAAGCTAAGATTAAGATTAAGCAAACTCATTTTAAAAAGTTCTTAGAGTGTAGTGAGGATGGAGAAAGAGACAAAAAAAGAGTAACTAAAGTTATGTATAGTAGATTGGACATAAAGAAAAGAGAGAGTGGAAACTTAAGTTAGATAGCTATAAAAAGAAGAGATCGAGACTTAGGAACTATTGGGAATACTAAAGATGATTCAAGATGAGTTCTAATTGAAAGTTGAGATTATTAAGAACAAATGTGATAATTAATTTCATTCTCTATTGAACGAAGCTAGGTCACTCGTGATTGATATTCATGTGGATGACTATGAAGAGTCCCCTAGACTTGCAATGAGGATTCTTGCATAAAGACTAGTAGTGAGGAAGTAAAGGGAGCTTTCAGGAGGATAGGAAGAAAAAAAAAGTAATTGGCGCAAATTAAATACCTATTAATGTATGTGCGTGTCTTTGGGAGGTCGAAGTTCAGAACCTCTTTAACATTATCTTGAAGATTATCAAGATGTATGAGGAGTGAAGATCTAATACGGTCATTCCGATATACAAATATTAAGCTTTTCACCTTCGCTATGAAATCATAAGAGAGAGTTGTAAAGGTCAAGTTGTAGTGTGTTAAATTTGTGTTAGAAAAATCATTATGGCTTCATGACAAGATGGTCAACAATGGACGCGATCCACCTCCTCAGACGCCTTATGGAGAAATTTAGAGAAAGAAATATTGCTTTCCATATTGTGTTCATCGCCCCGGAGAAGGAATATGATAGTGTATTACAACATCTTTCCTAATAGAGATTATGTTTTATTATGGTTGACCCTCAGCCCATATTCTTTGTCATGACTCATGATCTTGGACAACATGTCTTGCAAAATTTAGGCGGAATGCCCCGGTATATGCTTTTTTTGGATGACATTATCCTAGTAGCGGAGACGAGGTTGGATTTGAATGTTGGGTTGGACATCGGGGGGACAACATGTGAATAGAAAGGGTTACATATCAACATAATTAAGATAAAATATTTTTAATTGGGACATGACATATGCTATACTTAATGTCCAATCAACCACACTACAATGAAATGAGATCATTCACTCCTTTCTTATGATTACTTTAAGACAAATTGCAAATACAGATAATGTAATGTTGTTGATTTTTTATTCAAACTTCAGATTGTTTCCTTTAAAAGCTATAAAATACAATGGATTTTCTAAAATGACCATATTTTAAAGTGTCTGATTCCACCGTCATGTACACAAGGATATGCAAACATCAACTCCCAAAATTGAATCTAGAAATTCTCAAAACCCTACCGTACATATACAATATTTAGGTACAAAATTAAACTTTATCAGGTTAATTCTTCCAGCCTTTTATTTCTAATCACCATATCTGAATCGAGACTTCATTGCAACTTTTTAAGAAAAATGTAAAAAATAGCAATGTAGTTTAATTTATCTGTGACTGTGTATCGGAGCATCTTGATTTCATATTTGTTTTCCATTACATCATGGTGTTTTTCAAGTTTTTTCTTACAAAGAGATTGCATCTTGAAAAATCTACCAAATTATAACATTCAATTTTTTAATTTAAAAAATCTACCTCATTATAGCATTTTATTTTTTTATTTTGAAAAATCTATTTATTTAGAGCAAAATTTTGTGTTTTTTTTTTATAATTATTTGTATAGTGGATTTTTCATAGTATGATAATGTAATAGGAAAAAATGGAAATAAACAAATCAATGAAAGTACATTTTTATTTATTGTATTTAACCTTATTTCTTGATGTATGCGTATAAAAAAACCACATGAAAGCACAAGTTCTGTTTGGAACCACCAATTAAAGACAAACAAACAAAATTTGGCATGAAACTGGTTTAAAGCCAAGTAGATGTTTATTCTCAAGCCATCATCATCATCATCTAAATGTAGAATGCTACAAGCACAATAGAAGTGTCTGTTTGAAAGTTAGGGAAATGGCATATGCACTACAAACTTGTTTCAACTTATATGGTCTTTTGACGCCTTCCAACATCAAAGTGCACATCCAATATGCCTGTTATGCCAGCTTCTATCTTTTGACCAACTTTGACTGGGCCAACACCTTTTGGTGTTCCTACTCAAATGTAATTCATTAAGTTAGGTAACTAGATTTAATTAGTTGATTGCCATATTTTCTAGGGTAATTATTTATGCAACAAAATGATTTTTTTATTTTTTTTTAAACAAAAACACAAAACAAGTTTAGAAATTTTACCTGTAAGTATGACATCCCCTTCAAGAAGTGTCATAATAGAACTAATGTGACTAATCAGAAACGGGATCTTAAATATCATATCTTCTGTTGACCCTTTTTGTCTTATTTCTCCATCAACCTGAGGGGTAAAACCGTAAAACATTAATTTCAGTGGATTATTATTATGGAATGGAGGGGCTACCTTTAACCACAATTCCAAGCTATGAGGATCTGGCACCCTTGACAAAGACAGCTGCAAATGGAGTATTTAAATATGTCTATTAATTATCAAGTAATATAACAAGATAACAAAATCCTAATCAAAATAACAATTTACCAGAAAAGAGTGTAGTTTCTAATAATTCTTACAATGGAGCTGATAGGTGTGAAAGTGTCCTGTCCTTTAGCAACAGTCCAGGGAAGACCTGCAGACTGCCATGTAAATATACCAAACAAGAAGTTACACACCAAAACCATAAAATTCTTATAACATGAACAAAAGATCTAGAATTAGTGAAAATCAAGTTTTCATGTAGATAAATCATGTTCAACTTTACATAACTTTAAACTTGCAAATAGTATATTGAATAGATGGATCTAACTATTTAGTAATTACACACCATATTTAGTGAGAGTTTTACAACTTTTGTCTTTAAACTGTATTCCTGACAATTTCTTCCAAGTTCCAACTATGTTTGACATTCTTATAAAAAAAGATTGCATAAACACATAGATGATTGATAAGAATCCTGATATCAATAAGCTTGAGAATAAGTGATTACCTTTGCAGAAGCCTGGATTTCCCTTGCAGTCATATCCAGTGCAAGTGCATAACCTAAATTGAAACAAGCTTCCAGCTATGAGACCTTTTAAAATTCTAGAAAACTGAAGCAAGGCTGTCATTACTCCATTCTATAAAGAATCCTCCTTTTGCTCCTTTTTTATTGTTTTGAATTGATTCAAAATAAGAGTCAATTTAGTTTGCTTGCTGATACTTGAAAGTATCAAAATTTTATGAAACTGCAGGGTACGAACAAGCATCAATATCACTCACTCCCTTTGTCTAGAATAAAATGACGCATTTAGACTCCCTATCTAGTGGCTAGCCTAGTTGATTCTTCTTTGACAACGGAATTTTATTAAGGTCCTCTCTCCAATTTCTTGGATTAATCTTGTTCTATAGTGTCACCAATTCGTGTATACCCATTCTATTATGCAATGTACTGTACTTATATGGAGCAGTCAATTTGCAGGAGATATAAGAAGAAGGGAGGCAAATGAACAATCGGAGACCTAAAATCTATATATAAAATTCTAGAAAATTGAAGGAAGGTGGGATATAAGTTAATACGAGCGCATTACCTCCGATGTAATTCATGGCAGAAGCTTCAGGAACATCGCGAGCCTTTTTGCTAATAACGACCGCCAGCTCCACCTCGTGATCCAGCGATTCCAATGGATGCGGAACTTCGATCGTTCCCCCATTTTCCAAGTAGGAGGATGTAGGCTTCAAAAACAATACCGGCTCCTAAAAAACACAAACACACACAGAATCACAATAATTAAATCGTATATCAGCTTCGACAAGGAGATGCAGAACCACATTAAACAAACCTTAGGGACGGCGTTCCCGAGTTCCTTTGCATGAGCGGCGTAATTACGGCCGACGGCGACGATCTTAGTCCCGACGCTTAGCAGTTTGTCCATACTTGTCAATACTTCTACTTCCCCAACACGGATTCAACAAAAGATATACACGGCAAATCGGCATCTTCAACGATCAGTGGGACTCAGTGGCAACTCAAACTCGCAGGTAGTCAAACTTTACTTGCTGTTTGGGCTTTGGGCCAACCCATGTTAAGTTTGTAAAAGCCCAATTTGAAGTTAAAAGTTTAACTATTGAGAGGATGATGGTTATATTTTCTTTTTCTTTTTTTGAAAGAAAAGTTCGTGTAGAATTCTTTATTTATGAAAAAATATTTTATGTTTATATAACTAAATGAATGAATACAAATAGATTTCTAGTTTTTTAATTTATTTTCATGAACGTTTATTATTTAGTTTGCATTCATTTATTCTTGTTAAAGTTGGTAATTAAAATGTTTTTTTAAATGTCTCGTTAGGAATTGTTTAGATATGAATGTTATAGAAATTTGGATTTGCAACATTTTATATCTGTAAATATACGTATTCTTTTACTTGGTTCGTGAACATGTCTCGTTTCTGTTTGTTGTTTGGGCCTTAATGAATGAATATATAAATGAACAAAAACAAACTTATTTTCATAGTGAACAAACATGACAGATTATTTTCTTAATATCAAACACGGATACAAAAATATGTTGCTTTATGATTCATATTCATTTATTTGTGTGATTAAACTTAAAAGAACGAATACAAACAAGTCTTGATAATATCTCATAAGCCGCTGCACCCTTTTGTGGAAATTGCAGAAATTTAGTTATTGCAAAGTACATCACATGTTCAACAGGAGACTTCCAAGAATGGAAATTGTATATCATCTTTATTAAAAACAAAACGCATTAAAAAAGTAAAAACAAACTTTTTTGATTCAACAAGTTACAAGATTCCCGCAATACATTCATTCTCTTTTTCAGTTTTGAAGTAAGAAAGGTTCACACACAACACAAGAACATTTTAACTTTAACATACATTTATGTTAACTTACAAAGACGTACTCCATACATAATCTGTCTGCATATCTTCTTTTTTTTTTTGGCCTAAAAACATGATTGTGACAGATCATCGCATATGCAGCAACAACAACTCCGGTTTTTCAATGTACATCTTCCATTCTTTGCAAAATATCGCAACATTTGCTCCATCAAGTATTCTATGATCAGCTGCTATATTTACCTGAATTTAATTCAATACCAAAAAAAAATTAATTTATGCTAATTGTCAACATATAACTGTTAAACATCACTTTATCCAAAAAGGGTCTTACTGTCATGAGAGAGACAGGGTAAATGCTTCCATCTTCCCTAAAAGATGCAACTTTCTGAATTTTTCCAAGGGCAATTATGGCAACTTCAGGAACATTAATCAGGGGTGAACCAAATTTCCCACCAATTGATCCGATATTGCTAAGAGTTATAGTTCCACCAGCTATATCTGCAGGAGGAAGCTTGTTTGCCATTGCTAACTTTATTAGGCGCGATAGCTCCTTAGTTATCTACCAAACATCATATCATATCATATCATATAATATATTCAGTCAACTGATATAAAAAATAACAATAATTTCATTTTTGCTTGATTGTGTAGATTTTTCTAACCTCCAATATGGAAAGAGATTGAACATTCTTGATGTTTGGTACAACTAGTCCAGAAGGTGTGGCCATGGCAATTCCAATGTTGTGAGAGCCTTTTAACAAATAAATAAACCACTTGACAGATTAATCCATTGAAAAAAAAAAAAAAAAAAAATGTGAAATGGGAAAATATACAGACCTTTTAGAGTGACTTCATAATTATTCAAGTTGAAGGTGCTGTTGACTAATGGATGTGTGGTCAATGCCATGGATAATGACTTTATTAAGACGGGAAGGAATGTGAATTTAATATCCGGATCAGTATTCTCTTTCTGGAAAGCTGATTTAAGTTTCATAAGCCCATCACAGTTTATTTCTTCCACATAATGAAAATGAGGAACACTAGCAGCTGCAGTCATTGACTTAACCATTGCACGCTGATAAGCCCTACCAACAAACAATTTGACAACTTTAATAACATGTTTACTTCAATCAAATTCATGAAATTGTTTATTGTTTATATAATAATAATACCTTAGAGAGAATATCTTATCATGATAAAGTGATTCAGCCATCTCTTGAAGTTGTTCTTCAGGTCCAGACATTGGTTCGATAGAAGTAGGATTAAAAGCAGGTTTGTCATCAATAATTCCTTTTTCTACACCATACTTTAGAACATCTTCTTTCAATATTCTTCCATGTTTACCACTTCCAGTGACATCTGCTAAATCAATACCATGTTGCTTTGCAAGACTCCTAACAGCAGGGGTGGATAAATTATCATTTTCATGACTCTTTCTGAGATCTAGCTTGTGTTCATCAGATTTTGATCCATCAGAACCTACTGATGCATCAGAAGCATTAAATGGAACACCAGAATCATCAACCATCAACTGTAATAGAGTTTCTCCAACCTGAAAAATCAAAGTCAAATCAAAATTACTTTACCATATTTATGGAAATCATTAATACTACTACTACTGGTATTTTACCTTTATAATGTCACCAGGAGTATGCAGAATCTTGGAAACTTTCCCTTTATAGCGGCTTGTTATTTCTATAGTTGCTTTATCACTTTGAACTTCACAAAGAGGTTGATATTCTTCAACATGGTCTCCCTAACAAAACAAGTTTATTTGGAATGATTCAATTAAAGGAAAAGGAAGATGTATTTATTGTAAGACCAAATCAAATCACTCACATCCTGGACAAACCATTTGAGGAGTTCACATTCTGCAATACCTTCACCAGTTTGTGCTAAAGGTACATCTATAATGCCACCAGCTTGTTGACTATCCACTGCATTACTTGAAAAGTAGTGCCCCTTGACATTGTACAGTTTGTTCAACTACATAATTAAGTACAACCACATCGTTACCTTTTATGATAATTGTATGAAGTTTTATCAAGATTCAGATGAGAAGTACCACTAATTTAATGGAATGCACCCTTGTTCACATAGAAACATGTAAAAGTTTTATCAGATTGATTACTGCTGTCTTAGTTTCTGATGTATGTCTTTTGAGTTTTGCAAGCAAAGCATAGCAAATTTATAATCCGAAATGGCCAATTTTGATGTTAAAATCAGGCTATCTAGAAGTTTTCTGAAGAAATTTAACACTTATGTAGAGTTTAGATACTAAAAGTGACTAATTTGACCAGAAAAGGTAATAGAGACATCAAATTAGAATGGGAGTGGTGAATCTTTAGGAAAGATACAATCTGAAAAAAGATTATTAAGCGAATATTCTTCATCAAAAGTTCAAAACCATAATCATTTTGGCAACAAAATCAAAACCTAATAATTTCCTTGAATCTAGTGAGTAATTTTGAGAGAAGCAATTGCATAAATGTAGTTTCTTGTTGGATTTCGATATCTATGAGTCGAAACTCGAAAGAAGCCTATTCATGCACATAATTTAGATCGAAAACACCCACCCACACATAAATGTAAGTTATGCCTGACGCAATTAAACATTAACCTCTTAAAGCATGGCAAATTTGTAAAAGGAAATTTTCAATTTACTAACCTTGTAAGACCCGTCGAACTTTAACTTGGCAGAAGTTGGAGCTGCGGTTGAGAATTGGGTGATTGTAGGAGGCTTCAACTCGGTGGCCACCGCCGTCGTTGAAGGTGTGGAAGTGAGATAACACAAGCAGCTCCTACCGGAATTCAAAGACCTTCCACGAAGAATCCGGCGAGATAGCAGCATCTTGTGGATGATCCGACCCGATCGACCAGCAAAAATTGTCAAATAGGTTACGAAAATATATCAATCGAGAGGTAGTTAGTAGACTGAAGAGATTCAATCAAAACATATGAAGTTTAACTAATACGAACAAGATGTGAAACGATGAAAAGATGGATCGGAGTGTGGCAGTTGCGTTGGCATAACAGCTCTTATATGGTCAACGAGTTCATGCCCACCAAACACCTTCTTATGTTTGTTTAATGGCACGTTTCTGGTTAGGCACGACTGACGAGGAGTAAGAATTAAACACGACTTCGTTAAAGATGGAAAAAGCTTTGCTGAACGGATCTTCAAACCATGGCAAGTGGCAATTTGACAAAATTGCAAAAATGTCCATATGGTTTGTCAATTTCTGTGGGTAATGTCCAAAAAAATGTTTATTAGCAAAAAAAGGTTTTTATTTGATGGTTTTGTTGCGGTTTTGGTCTCAACCTCGTTAAGTTTAACAGCATGACTGTTAACTTTTGGCAAATAACAGATTTACCCATGGGACCATTTATGCAGTTTTATCTTTTTACCAAACTATAAGGACCAATTACGCAATTTTTCTTTTTCATATTATTGAATTATTATATATTAATTATTTTAATTACTTTTTTCTTTATAACTTTTTTCTTATTGTATTATTTTTTTATTGGATTATTATATATTAATAAATATTGTTTTTAATATATAAATAAATATTACTTTTTTTATTAATAATTTTTTCAATTTTTTTTTGAATTTCTTCTATTGCATTAATTCTTTATTATTATTATTATATATTAATAAATATTATTTTTAACATATAATATTTATCTATTAGTAAGTGTTACTTGTTTGGATTATTAAATTCGATTAATTAATTTTTTTTAAATTTTTTTATTTCGTTAATTCTTTTGATTCGATTATTATATATTAATAAATATTATTTTTAATATATTATATTTATATATTAATAAATATTACTTTTTTATTAATTTTTTAATTGATTTTTAAAAAAAAAATTATTGTATTAATTCTTTTTTATTGGATTATTATATATTAACAAATATTATTTTTAGCATATAATATTTATCTATTAGTAAGTGCTACTTTATTGGATTATTATTATTATTTAATTAACTTTTTTATTGCATTAGTTCTTTTTATGGATTATTAATTTAAATTTATTATTTTTATTTATAATAAATAATATTTTTTAATTGTTTTGTTTAATTTATTTCTTTATTGTTTCAAATAAAAATACCAAAAAATTTCACCCACCCCACATTCTCTAATTTATTTTAAATATTTGGAAGATAACATATTTTGGACAACACCACCACCATCACTCAGTCACAACAAATCGCTATCGGGGCGTCTCCAACTCTGTTACTATATATACAAATATATAAGTTCTATAATTATTCACGAAATGAGACTATCGTGTGTATTTTAGTTTTTGTGTATTCACATATATCTAAATTTGTTATATATTTCAATAAACTTATGATT